ATTTCTAAAGAACCAAGTTGGCGCCTATTGGATATTTCTGAAGAACCAAGTTGGCGCCTATTGGATATTTCTGAAGAACCAAGTTGGCGCCTATTGGATATTTCTGAAGAACCAAGTTGGCGCCTATTGGATATTTCTGAAGAACCAAGTTGGCGCCTATTGGATATTTCTGAAGAACCAAGTTGGCGCCTATTGGATATTTCTGAAGAACCAAGTTGGCGCCTATTGGATATTTCTGAAGAACCAAGTTGAAAGAAGAACCAAGTTGGCGCCTATTGGATATTTCTGAAGAACCAAGTTGGCGAATATTGGATATTTCTGAAGAACTAAGTTGGCGCCTATTGGATATTTCTGAAGAACCAAGTTGGCGCCTATTGGATATTTCTGAAGAACCAAGTTGGCGCATATTGGATATTTCTGAAGAACCAAGTTGGCGCCTATTGGATATTTCTGAAGAACCAAGTTGGGGCCTATTGGATATTTCTGAAGAACCAAGTTGGCGCCTATTGGATATTTCTGAAGAACCAAGTTGGCGCCTATTGGATATTTCTGAAGAACCAAGTTGGGCCTATTGGATATTTCTGAAGAACAAGTTGGCGCCTATTGGATATTTCTGAAGAACTGAGTTGGCGCCTATTGGATATTTCTGAAGAACTAAGTTGGCGCCTATTGGATATTTCTGAAGAACAAGTTGGCGCCTATTGGATATTTCTGAAGAACAAGTTGGCGCCTATTGGATATTTCTGAAGAACAAGTTGGCGCCTATTGGATATTTCTGAAGAACAAGTTGGCGCCTATTGGATATTTCTGAAGAACCAAGGGCGCCTATTGGATATTTCTGAAGAACAAGTTGGCGCCTATTGGATATTTCTGAAGAACCAAGTTGGCGCCTATTGGATATTTCTGAAGAACTAAGTTGGCGCCTATTGGATATTTCTGAAGAACAAGTTGGCGCCTATTGGATATTTCTGAAGAACTAAGTTGGCGCCTATTGGATATTTCTGAAGAACCAAGTTGGCGCCTATTGGATATTTCTGAAGAACCAAGTTGGCGCCTATTGGATATTTCTGAAGAACTAAGTTGGCGCCTATTGGATATTTTGAAGAACAAGTTGGCGCCTATTGGATATTTCTGAAGAACAAGTTGGCGCCTATTGGATATTTCTGAAGAACAAGTTGGCGCCTATTGGATATTTCTGAAGAACCAAGTTGGCGCCTATTGGATATTTCTGAAGAACTAAGTTGGCGCCTATTGGATATTTCTTAAGAACTGAGTTGGCGCCTATTGGATATTTCTGAAGAACTAAGTTGGCGCCTATTGGATATTTCTGAAGAACTAAGTTGGCGCCTATTGGATATTTCTGAAGAACAAGTTGGCGCCTATTGGATATTTCGAAGAACTAAGTTGGCGCCTATTGGATATTTCTGAAGAACTGAGTTGGCGCCTATTGGATATTTCTGAAGAACTAAGTTGGCGCCTATTGGATATTTCTGAAGAACTGAGTTGGCGCCTATTGGATATTTCTGAAGAACTAGTTGGCGCCTATTGGATATTTCTAAGAACTGAGTTGGCGCCTATTGGATATTTCTGAAGAACCAAGTTGGCGCCTATTGGATATTTCTGAAGAACAAGTTGGCGCCTATTGGATATTTCTTAAGAACTGAGTTGGCGCCTATTGGATATTTCTGAAGAACTAAGTTGGCGCCTATTGGATATTTCTGAAGAACTAAGTTGGCGCCTATTGGATATTTCTGAAGAACTAAGTTGGCGCCTATTGGATATTTCTGAAGAACAAGTTGGCGCCTATTGGATATTTCTGAAGAACCAAGTTGGCGCCTATTGGATATTTCTGAAGAACCAAGTTGGCGCCTATTGGATATTTCTGAAGAACAAGTTGCGCCTATTGGATATTTCTGAAGAACAAGTTGGCGCCTATTGGATATTTCTGAAGAACTAAGTTGGCGCCTATTGGATATTTCTTAAGAACTGAGTTGGCGCCTATTGGATATTTCTGAAGAACTAAGTTGTCGCCTATTGGATATTTCTTAAGAAAACTTGGGCCTATTGGATATTTCTGAAGAACAAGTTGGGCCTATTGGATATTTCTGAAGAACCAAGTTGGCGCCTATTGGATATTTCTGAAGAACCAAGTTGGCGCCTATTGGATATTTCTGAAGAACTAAGTTGGCGCCTATTGGATATTTCTGAAGAACTAAGTTGGCGCCTATTGGATATTTCTGAAGAACCAAGTTGGCGCCTATTGGATATTTCTGAAGAACAAGTTGGCGCCTATTGGATATTTCTGAAGAAGTTGGCGCCTATTGGATATTTCTGAAGAACAAGTTGGCGCCTATTGGATATTTCTGAAGAACAAGTTGGCGCCTATTGGATATTTCTGAAGAACAAGTTGGCGCCTATTGGATATTTCTGAAGAACAAGTTGGCGCCTATTGGATATTTCTGAAGAACTAAGTTGGCGCCTATTGGATATTTCTGAAGAACAAGTTGGCGCCTATTGGATATTTCTGAAGAACAAGTTGGCGCCTATTGGATATTTCTGAAGAACCAAGTTGGCGCCTATTGGATATTTCTGAAGAACAAGTTGGCGCCTATTGGATATTTCTGAAGAACAAGTTAGGGCTATTGGATATTTCTGAAGAACCAAGTTGGCGCCTATTGGATATTTCTGAAGAACCAAGTTGGCGCCTATTGGATATTTCTGAAGAACCAAGTTGGCGCCTATTGGATATTTCTGAAGAACCAAGTTGGCGCCTATTGGATATTTCTGAAGAACCAAGTTGGCGCCTATTGGATATTTCTGAAGAACTAAGTTGGCGCCTATTGGATATTTCTGAAAACTAAGTTGGCGCCTATTGGATATTTCTGAAGAACCAAGTTGGCGCCTATTGGATATTTCTAAGAACAAGTTGGCGCCTATTGGATATTTCTGAAGAACAAGTTGGCGCCTATTGGATATTTCTGAAGAACAAGTTGGCGCCTATTGGATATTTCTGAAGAACCAAGTTGGCGCCTATTGGATATTTCTGAAGAACCAAGTTGGCGCCTATTGGATATTTCTGAAGAACCAAGTTGAAAGAAGAACAAGTTGGCGCCTATTGGATATTTCTGAAGAACCAAGTTGGCGCCTATTGGATATTTCTGAAGAACTAAGTTGGCGCCTATTGGATATTTCTGAAGAACAAGTTGGCGCCTATTGGATATTTCTGAAGAACCAATTTGGCGCTATTGGATATTTCTGAAGAACAAGTTGGCGCCTATTGGATATTTCTGAAGAACAAGTTGGCGCCTATTGGATATTTCTGAAGAACAAGTTGGCGCTATTGGATATTTCTGAAGAACAAGTTGGGCCTATTGGATATTTCTGAAGAACAAGTTGGGCCTATTGGATATTTCTGAAGAACAAGTTGGCGCTATTGGATATTTCTGAAGAACTGTGTTGGCGCCTATTGGATATTTCTGAAGACTAAGTTGGCGCCTTGGATATTTCTGAAGAACAAGTTGGGCCTATTGGATATTTCTGAAGAACAAGTTGGGCCTATTGGATATTTCTGAAGAACAAGTTGGCGCCTATTGGATATTTCTGAAGAACAAGTTGGCGCCTATTGGATATTTCTGAAGAACAAGTTGGCGTATTGGATATTTCTGAAGAACCAAGTTGGCGCCTATTGGATATTTTTGAAGAACCAAGTTGGCGCCTATTGGATATTTCTGAAGAACTAAGTTGGCGCCTATTGGATATTTCTGAAGAGCCAAGTTGGCGCATATTGGATATTTCTGAAGAGCCAAGTTGGCGCATATTGGATATTTCTGAAGAACCAAGTTGGCGCCTATTGGATATTTCTGAAGAACCAAGTTGGCGCCTATTGGATATTTCTGAAGAACTAAGTTGGCGCATATTGGATATTTTTGAAAAACCAAGTTGGGGCCTATTGGATATTTCTGAAGAACCAAGTTGGCGCCTATTGGATATTTCTGAAGAACCAAGTTGGCGCCTATTGGATATTTCTGAAGAACTAAGTTGGCGCATATTGGATATTTCTGAAGAACTATGTTTGGCGCCTATTGGATATTTCTGAAGACCTAAGTTGGCGCATATTGGATATTTCTGAAGAACCAAGTTGGCGCATATTGGAATGACGCCGCGGGCCGTAGTTTGGTGACCCCTGGACTATAGCCCATTGCGATTGCGAATGGTTTTTATCTATATGGAAAAGCGTAATCTGATGATATAATCATGACGCTTTGAAAGGCAAAGTATCCAAGCAAAGTATACGCCTTGCCCGAGCGCAAAATTTCTGAAAAGCCACGTAACCAAAATGCATAGAAGATGCGTTCATCACACCTTCTTTACAGATATATGCTATTAAGTGTATCATCATGTTTTCAAAAAATAAATGAAATATATTGATGACTGTGCAGCAGGCTGTAACGATGATGATAAAGATGATTAGTCAGTCCACTTAGAAGTTGATTAGCCCAGAGCTAGTAATGTCCCCTAACAATTGTTTTATTTACATGCTTAGAATGGCAATATTTTGCTCCAAAAGAATTCACCAAACAGGAACGACGCAATTTAGGAAAACAATACAGTTTCGTTTCTTGTCCAAGACACATCACGCTATTGTTTTATTGGACTAAGCTTTTACAAAGTCACCAATTTAAACATTGCAGTCTTTATTTCCTGTGCAAATACAAATCATCGAAAAAAAGGCCCTAAAAATCAAACCTGGTTTCAAATAGCAGCCCAATAAGCAGGCTTGTCCATGGGACATATTTTTGGTCCCATTCCCATCCCATCCCTTAGCAGTTATGCCTGTCCATTCCATGGGATTCCCATTGAAATAAAATTCATATCATAAATAGGACTACATGTACGAAGAAATCTACAAAACAACAAAATTTACGGACTTTGTTAACTTTGTATCCATAACTATTATACATATGTCCATTAGCCCCTTCACGAAGTATATTGTTAATGCTGAATATATTTTGCTCTTTATACCTAACAAGAGAGCTATGCTCAAATATATGGACACAAAGTCCAGAACGAAATGCTTTGCCAACATTTCACCGAAAATCATACGGTTTTTGTGTCCTACGTTTTCCCATGGGTATTACAAAGGTGTGCTGTCCCATCCCATGGGTCGTTTCCCATGGACAAGCCTGCCAATAAGCCTCTTACGGGGGAGGGCAGTCAAATGACGATGAGGGCAATATAATCATCTCTACGACTAAGTGTTTTAAGAAACTGAACATTAGTACATTTAGTAACATTTACAGATTTTCATATTTAATCTATAATCTTTGAACTAAAGTATTCTATCGAAGATATTATTTCAAACTTCAGACCAGACCTTAGAAATATTATTTCCCCTTTAGTTCGTTTAATGATACGAAGAGAAAAAATATACCGTATAATTTTAATAGTACAAAATTGCTACCATATTGTGGATGATCAAGCATGGACTTGTCAACATCAATGAAATCTTAGACGAGTATCAACTTCGTAATAATGATATCAAATATCCTAACGATGAACGCAAATCAGGTTTATTTCCGGTTCAATGTATGATGTGATGTAGAATTCAGAACGGGAAATAGGATTTCAAAGTTCACCTCAAACCATTGCGAATAAAGCGACCGGATTCATTAAATTGAGATTATAGCTGTATAGATGATATGGTGTGTTGCTATACGGAAGGAAATAGAAATAAAAATTCTGGAAGTAGGTTCAGCGAACATGTATAAAGAACGAGAGAGAGACTATTGAAGATTAAACGGCTTGCTCCTAGGTATTGGTAATATCCTAAGTTGCGGTTTTATGAAAAACCGCAACAGACACCCTATAACTAAAAATAAAATGAATTTCAGGTAGAAATACATGTAAGTAATTTTGAATATGTTCTGTGTTCTTTGTTTTATAAGCATAATTGGGATATCCAAATGCCTGAGTTTGAAATGTTACATCAAATAATTTATTTACTATTTATTTCCACTCATTGGTCTTCTGTGGATGGGGAATGCCAACTACCACAAACGCAAGAGATAGATTGGAGCAAGGTAAGAACTATAGTTAATTTTTGTTTTTGAAAATCTAAGACATTTACCAATAGAACAATGATAATTCAGAAAATATTTTAAACATCGGGTAACAATAAAATTGAAATATTCAATAATTTGACTGATAAATTTAATTTTCAAGAAAATACTTTCGCAACCTTAGCAGAGTTAATTTTTATCTACAAAACTATTTTAATGTCATGTAATTTTACAGATGAGAGGTGTTTGGTATGAGATATTGAATTCTGGAACTCCGTTTGATAACCTGTTGTCATGTTTCGAAGTTGTTGACATTCAGAATATCACTGGAGGAATGAGGCAAACATTTTACGACGAAAACAAGTACTATGGATAAAAAAAAATCAATCTTTTGCAAAGATATATCTAGCTTTAACTGCAAATAAAGTAGTGTTAAATTACATAGAAGTTGAAAAATCCTTAGGTGGAGATCTATTTATTTACCGATGATGATTTGAAAGCTCAGACCAATTGAAACAAATTGTTATTTGTAAAATTAGAACAAAAGTCTTCTTCTAGATCTATTCTAGATGATACGTGAACAACATAGGTCTGACATTAACCTATTATCACACTGGGCTTATCTTGGCCTTCAATACAAATAAAATGAACTAGAATTTCAGTTTGTGGAATTGTGAATATGAAATATTACATAATTTAAACATGATTACAAATTGCTAACCACCTGGTCATATTTTGACATGGCCAAGGAAAGATAAATTTTCTGATTTGCATAAAAACTGAAACGTTTAGCAATGAATGATCTATTTTGTTATTCGCTATCTAGAACATAACGTAAACAAGTAAATTTGGAATTTCAAAATAAGAACACCGGTGTGCATTTAGACATGACAGATAATCATACTTTATGTTGTATATGACAATAGTCATATCAGAATTACAAAATTGTTGGCAAATAAAGTCTGTGATTTGAAATGATAATTTATAATTTACTAATAATACTTGATATTGTTTAATCATTGTTTCAGAGACATAAGTGTTTCCGTTGATGTCAAGAGATTGGAATCGGGCCACTACAAATACGAGACTGATCATGGTAATGTACTATATTGTTCAGCCCATGGCTCTCTCCCAGAGACTTTTAACACTTATTGCCCTCTGCCTTGGAATAAAGATATCCAGGCTTTGCTTTTAATGAGTGTCAGTTATTCTGTTAATCATGTTCAATAATGAACTGGAAGAATTAATCAATGTAGAGTCAATTTACTTTGAATAAATGTAGTCATCGCGAATGGTAACTGAACCTCTGCTCGTGGCCTCCCACTGCACCGGTCCGAGCGTCCCAATTGAGAAACTCTGTTAGCTATTCTCATTGTAAATAAAGTATTTTTATCGTATTTTTAACATACTGATATATTTTGCTTCCATTTAGTTCCATCGTGGATCGCATTTTTAATGAATGAAGTATCTCCAGAAAAGCCTGTCGACCCTAAATTGCTTCAAGGTACATTGCATTGACTTTAATATAAGACTCATCCCAAAATGATTCCATTTCCTAAATCCTGTATTTTCTTATTTTGAAAAAGGGAACAAAAATACATATGTTTTCTTGAATGACCATTTTCTTGGCACTTTCAACCAAACGAATATATTTCTTTAAAAAAAACTATTTTGGATTTGTCACATAAAATAGGATTCATATAGAAAATCATTCTTTTCAAATTTTCTATTCTTTCATTTAGAACTTACAGACATGTTCGAAGATGAAACGGTTTACCGAACTGATTATGAAACCTATGGAATAAATACCAGATGTACTAAAGATGGTAATAAAACTTGAAATATATCAAGAAATCAATAAACACAATTTTTTTATCGCGAATAATGACATATGTTACACAATTTGTACAGGTTTTTATAAAATTTTGCTAAATGTAAACCAAATATAGATAACCAGTAAATTTCAACTTAGAAAATCCAGTTTGTATTCTTTTATTTCGAAAATTTTTTGGAATGTTTTATATTCATCATGTAGCAATTGTTGAACTGTTTCATTATAGAAATGTAGGCTTCTATGTTTTATTACCTTGACCGCACCATTGAACTTTGTAAGCTGTGTTTTTCTTACTTTACCCTTGGAGTAATAGTGTATACAATCCAGGTAAAAAATTCTACTGGATAATCAGTCGCGACCCTCATCCAACTTCTAACAATATCGTATATATTTTCAACAAACTAATGGAACTTGGATATGAATGGAACGATGTGCCACTGCACTTGTCAGGATGCACGGAATCAGATGAAACTGTATAAAAAATGACACAAATGTCTGATTTTGATATATTTTGAGGCGGAAAATTCATGAGACGCTCCTTTTGTAGTTTGAGTGTGAAGAGTTTAAGGTTATTTGAATCAAAAATTGAGTTTCATTCGAAAGATTCCAAAAACTTTGTTGGCGTTGAACATTTATCAGCGTTTGGAACATTGACGTCCACTACTATCTTGATTTACCATATGTATATCATATAACTTTACAATATATTTCATCCGGTTCATATACCGTATTAAACGGACCATAATGCCCAATTTAAATCCTTTCGATCAAAAAAAAAAAAATCGATTTTGCGCCTTATAAGCCAGTGCGCTTAATGTATGGGTCAAGTAGTGCTTCATGCGTTATTGCCTCAGTGGTGAGCTGTAGCCGGAACGCACCGGAGCGGCGTCCGGTTGTTGAACATTTTATTGCATTTGCGTAGCTGTAGTTGATATAAAATTATGGTACAAAAAGTCTAGTAAACCTACTTAATAATTTATGTTTTGTTACATCATAATTCGTAATTTTTTTTACATCACATCACGCAAATAATTATTACGTCAGTAACATGTAATAGATGTTCCCCGACCTTCGACCCCATGGGAATTCATCCTATACCCTTCAATAATAACATTTGTATTGAATTGCTATGAATATATTTGTAATTTTACAGACTTATTTCAGATAATTTATTCATAATTCATTGCAGTTCTTCGACTCTATCTTAGAAAAGACAAAACATTCTGTAAACGTCCGCCTCGTGTTGTAAATATATTACATTTTTGCGAATTACGTGCGTTCCGGATGTTGCGATTTTTTCAGCTCATCACTGCCTACACTCAACCCCAGTACCGGTAATACAGTTTCATAAACAAACCGCCGTTTTACATCTTCTTTGAATAAAATACAATAACGATAAAAATATTAATTTTTTTTTATTTGATAAGCTTTGTTTGGTAAAACATGATACCAATTAAAAACCGTTACGTGTTAAAGCCTGGGGCACCTTTTGTATGGATGAAACCCCAATCCAACTAATTGACGGTGCGCCCTTATGTTTCGTAAAATACGGCAATTATATTATATGAATTAAGAATATTTATTTCAACCATAATAAAATGAGAACAGTGCACTGTTGAAATAATTCTTGGCTACTCACAGGTAATAAAAGAACAGATAAGCAGTAAAACAATAGGAGTGCAGCTCAATTTTACCTGGCAAAAACTGCCATAGTCATGTTTCCTATTAACCAGGTCTACTGTATAGATGATTATAATTCGAAAATTTTCATGTGTAAGAATGTATCAATTCAAATATCTTTTAACTTCTTTTGACTTGAATGAATTAGTTGCAATATTATTGCGTACTTTAATCAGCAGATTATTACATGTTTTAAGAGTAAAGTTAATATTTATTTTATTCGTGGGAGATGCAACAACACTTCAAACCAGGTCATTATGTATCGCTTATCAATTCATGTGAGAGGCATTATTAAAACCGCAGAATGCTACTTGCTACAAATTATTTATCGCATTTAAAAATCGAAGATTAGATGAATATTGTAAAATGTTTTTTTCTGCAGTAATTTTCACCTGAGATTATTGAAATACAATCAATTTTATCCATGTAGTCCCAAAATAAGTCATGTGTTGAATAAATCTACAAATCATTGCCATTGTAAAGTACTCTAGAAAACTAGTTATAAGCGAGACGTCTAATTTTTAAGGATAATGAAATTAGGTTTAAAAAGAGAACTTATATATAAAAATAAACTGAATAAAAAATGTGTTGAAAAAAAGATATTGAATTATCAAGGTAAAAAATAATAATGAAAGGTAATCAATATTAAATACTTTCATGGTGTAGTTAAAGGAAACCATTGTTTACACTATCTAATGGATACTCGTCATATATATCAGCATAAGTGTAAACACAATAAGCATATTGTTAAATATATGAGAATTTTAAATGTCTGTTAAATATTTTAAATATTTAAATGTGTGTTAAAATTTAGATGGTTAGATCAGTGACGTATCTGCCTTGAACAGGAGCACAAATAGGGTAAAAGTTTTAATCGTGAAATGTTTCAAGAAAATAATTTCGAGGTAGAAATAATTGAAACTCTTATTTTCACTCAAATAATAACTGAGAAGAATCTCAATTCAAAAACAGTCGTTAAAAATTGTCATTCAATGAAAAGGGGCGCATTTTAAAACTTTGTCATGGGCGCCATTTTACGTAGATACGCCACTGGGTAAGATTCTTTTCAAGATCTTAATTTTCCCAACATTTCGACGAAATATGACTCTCATATGGATTCACGGCATTTCAGTCGTGGTCGTGCCCTGAAACAAGACAATAATAAAAAATGGGCAAATGCTGGTAACACATTTTTAATGCACTTTCAAAGTTTATTTTATACTGCATTGGCAACTCAACAATCTTATCATTCTATTTTAACCTAGAGGCGTGTATTCTGTATTGCTTACGTACAACCCAATTCCAAGTGGAACATATTTGACTTTTTGTGCAGATCCATCAACAAACTAATTCCTCAATATTCGTTGGAAATATTATTTCTAAAATACAGAGTTGGACAAAGAAAACGAACTAATACAAAATTCAATTCAATTTTTTTTTACCTTCGTGCCACAGGGTGGATCAACATTGTAAAGAAAATTACACGTCTGATTATCTTCATCAAAAATTATGTTCGAAGTTTTACAAGTAACCTTATAAGCTAGTTGGTAGTTATCGACACACCTGTTAAATGATGTGAAACAAGTATAATTAAAAGTTATTAGTTTGGGAATAATATAAATGTGGTTTAAGCTCACCAGTAGTATTCGTGACAAGAATATGGACTACGATGGAATATTGTAATGTCGCGTCCAGCACAATCAAACTCTAAAAAGATGCAGACAATAATGTATTCGTATGTGAATTGTCGAAATAATAATAATTTGATGACGAAACAAAATTAGAGTTATTCAATCATATTGATTCTTATCATGAAACAAATTTTATAATATGCAGGTAAAGTCAAGCTCTTTTATTTCCATTCTAAGCACAAATCTGGGTCCTCCCGTAGTATGCGCACCAAGATGGCGGACACCGGAACGTAGCATGTGTACCAGGTTAGTGTTAGGTCATAATTTTGGGTACAAATACTACGGGAGTCATTCGGCTACTCCCCAAACTCGTAGTAGAACTAAAATAAGGAAAATTGAAATAAAATTATGGCCTAACCCTAACCTGGTACACATACTACGTTCCGGTGTCCGCCATCTTGGTGCACACACTACGGGAGCACCCAAATTTGTATATGAGGTTTCATTTTAATATCTAAAATGCTTTTATTTTCAGTTATAATTTGCAATTCATTATAAGTAGCTTATCACATAACTTTGTGAGCATACGAGTTAAAATCGTATAAGCCAATATTAGGCCTACAGTGAATTTGTTTCTTGATAATATTTGCCCATTGAGGATTTGAAGAGTTGACTTAAAAAAGAAAAATCACTCGAATATCAAGTCTGAAGCGACTAGTCACGAATCAGTACCTATTGGATATCGAGTGTTTTTGCTTATTAATTCGTGGTTGCCTATCAATTGTCGATTTGCGTGAGGCTAAAAGGGGTTTGAATGATTTAAGTGTGCCTTTTGCATGAAGTTTCAAGACGATACCCCATCATCAAACAGTTTGTTGATAAAGCTTTTAAATTTCCAATATGGTGGTCTATCTATAATATATATTACTCTTACATAAAAAAGGTCAGGGAATATTTGTGAACATTCTATCATATCATCTTCATAAATATATAACGGTAAATGTGAACATTTACTGATGCCAACTTATGTATTTACGTTTTGGGAAAAATCCAATAAATTGATTGTGAAACAAAATCGTGCCACTTTTAGTCTGACAACAACGCAACATTGAATTCAATTATGTTCAATCGGTTTTCAAATATAAATAAACATATAGCATACCATATTTAGTAACTTGAGAATAATCAGCTGTTAGACCTAAAAATAATATTATTAGCTATTAAAATCGTTTCGATTGTGGAAATTGTTTCTAAACTACTCTCACAATAATATAATCCTAATTACAATTCAACACAATTTTTTGTCTTCATATGTCCAATTAGAAAATTGCCGTGAGAGTTTTCACGATATATAACTGAAATTAATTATAAATATAATCATAATTAAATAATAAATATACTTAGACCAGTAACGAGATTGGTTTTGTAAATAACTTGCATTATTAATAGGACAATGTAACGAAAACAAGTCAGCAATGCTTGAATAGAGGGACAACATAGATCGCGCATCGGATCTGATAATATGAAATCGATTGATTTCTGTACAGAGAAGCATTTTTTTGCAACTACAACAATTACCAAAAAACGACACAATGTCCCCCCTGTATCTAAATAAAATTGTAAAGAAGTAAAATCTCTATTCACATTTCAAAACTGCACATAAAATCGTTGTCAATGACAAAATTTAGTGAGTGAAATTCTTACCTGAGGATAGTGTATTGAAGAAAAAAACTCACCCGCAAATCCTTGTTTTGGCATACAAACTATTACTACCATAAGCATAAACAATATCTTTGAGTCAATCATAATTAATCGCACACACACTTTATTGTGAAAGATTAATGTTAATGGCAATTATTACTCAAATAAAATAGCAATAAATTGTCTTTCTTCCGTTTTCACACTAGTTAATCAAAATATAATACCGAATGAATTAACAGTCGCAGAAGTCCCTTTACGTCAGTTAATAGAAAGAAGCAGCATTGCATATTACAACTTAGTACTACTGTAGTCCTATTGCCACGTAAGTAGAAGTAGTACAATCGGCAACAGGTTTATAAACCTGGAAAGCGCCCTCAGCGTAAATGTGATGGATTTCATGGATATTTAGCCATACACTACTATATCACCATGCTGGCATTCTGACTAATAAGTATAATAATTACTATTTAGTTTATCCCTCCTATAACAATCGCTGTTGCTTTGCTTTGGTGTCCACAATTTTCATTATTATTCAATTTGTATCAAGGCTAACGATATATGGTACCGTTATCTAGAAACAGCTACACCTCCTGTTCAGATAATAATTCTCATATTGTTTGTTGATCGTCAATGGATTGTATTAAACAAATGAAAATATATTCGGAAGAAATTTATAATATTACAAGTATACCATAAAAACTATATTTGAACATTTCCAAATAATTAAATTGCTTAAAATATCTTTTTCATTGACGATTCCATGTTTGAACATACACGTTAAATAATATACTTTTATGGCGTTCAAAAATAGCATATATATGCTGTTTCTGCATTCTAAGATCAAGTGGGGATTTCAATGATTAACGTTATAATCATTGCAAATATATCGGAGCGTGATGATACAACTACTAATATTGAACTGGGTATACTGTACAATCAAGTGTGTACTATGTTAGATACAGCGTATACAAATGGCAAATATAATACAGCCATGGTTTGTGTCAGCTGAAATCATAACGTGTCAGCGATTGGCCTTAGTATATATATTGCCTAATTGATTAACCACAATTTATAGACCCACTCGTTGTTGAGCGAATATTACATGTCCGTTGGCTTTGCTCATTGACACACAGAGTGCGGTTCGTGAGTTCGTTCCGTCATAATGCGCAAGTACAGCTATTTGTGACGTAATAATAATATATACAAATTCCAATTCCATGCGGAAAAATAAATAACCTACAACATTTGAACGCGTTTTAACATTCAAACAAACGATACTCACTCATTGATATTCATTCTTAATGTAGAGACATGTATAGAAAAATTTAACGCCACTCTAATGTTCAAATGTCACTATAAGACTACAGGGAGTCCTCGACTTACGACGTTGTTCCGTTCTTGAGACGTCGGTGTAACCCGAATTTCAGTGTAAGTCGGAACATTATACTGTACAGTACATAAATTACTCTATACATATCGTTCTGTATTTTAAATATGGTACTGTAATAAATCGTACAAATACTGCAAATGAAGCAAATACTGTACAGTACAGTATTATCTTTTATATTTTTCATGGAGTGCGTTCGTAACATCGGAACAACGTTATGGAGTGCGCGTTCGTAACCTCGAAACAGCGTAAGTCGCGACCGTCGTAACCCGAGGACTCCCTGTACTATCATCATTTGAGAGGTACAAAATCAACATAAAGTTGGACAACTTGTACCACGAAGTAAAAGGTTGAAGAGCAGAAAGTCTCATTAGTACATAATACATAGAATCCAGCGTATGCGATCGTATTGGAAAATTTGCAAGGATATCCAAGGAGGCGAACAAAACATATTAACCTCCTTCATCACTTTTTTCCCGTATTATATATAACAAAAAACACTAAGTAAATTAGTTCAGTAGTAAATTCCACGTAAATTATACAGTGTATTTCTGTCAATCTTAGTCAAAATGTATCTTTCACGTATTTTTGTATTACACTCAACATGCTACCACGTACTACTTATACTTTCGAAATGTAATCAGTAATCACCCAGTAAAAACTAATTTGCATATATATATGCATGGCTGCTGTTTTATGGTGAAAAACATATTTCTGTACAAAGCTCAGAATCAATATACGATAATATCGGTCAGAGACCGAAGACTTATCGATCAAAAGTTAAGGGATCCCCCAAAACAGCGCTCTTACTTCATAGTGACATCTTGTGTCCCATCACTAATTAATTAATAACTCGCTAATTATACGACATAATTTATCCAAAATCAATAGACTTCTGGTCCGACATATGATGAATGCACATGCAAAATCTGGAGAGGATTCAATCTCGCTTTCGTGAGATATCGCATGCGTCTAACAGACAGACAGACAGACAAACAGATAAATACCTATCAACATACTTACCGATTAAAATCAATAAGTAATTAGGCTGAATGCCACTCAATTAATGTGATTTTCATCGCATATACATTTAAATATTTTCCGGAAGTAATGTTGAACGCTTCGAATTTACAATATTCCCGTCACAATCAATACAAATTTGAAAATTTGTTACAGAATTTGCAATAAATTTTCAAAATCGATTAGAATAAAAAACACCCAAATATTCAATAGAATTTTTTTACCTATTTTTTTTTAAAAGTGAGAGTAAATCAATATTGGTATATGCATTTCCTAATTATGACATTGAAGATTTTAATCGTTGCTTGATTATGAAAATCCCAATATATATTACTAGTTGAGGGGATTCTTTTTTATATGCATTTGTGCGACCATGTATTTTACACGATGTGGCAAAAGTCACTAAAACCAAGAGTATAAGGCGCGGGAGCATAACCAATGGCGATGTTGTTTGTCGTTCATTTTCATCAGTTAAGTCAGTGTTTGTTGAAGAGGTGTTCGAAACTGTTGTACATTAGTATTTTTCATCATTCAAACACAAACTACACTACAAGTTTTAATGTTTTCAGTGTGTTGTCCAGTTATTAGAATCTTTTTACAACCGACCGAGTAACTATTGGTCGTATTGTTTTCTGAATATGCCTCCTTCCAATTTCTGTGTAAGCATGAATAATTGAGGTCACAGTGTTTACACATATGCTTCAATATTTTTCAACGATGTTTGCGTGCATAACAATATTTATGTAGTGCTTCTTACTACGATTAGGGCTATTAAGTGGAATAGAAACTATTTATTAGCCGAAAATATTTGTTTATTTATAGATGAAAATTCATTGAGGAAATCGTAATACAAAATTATACGAAATAAATAAACAAAAATACGCGAACTCAATCATTTATATTTTACATATTTTTAAACGGATTGCTTGCAGTTTTGCCTGGACTGAGTTGAATAATGTATGATATTAACCTGCACTTTATGGACGATGCTTTCGTCCCGGTCATTCACTCATCGATTGTCATCTGCACACGAGCGGTTAAAAGTTTGACAACGCAGCAGCATTTAAATGCCGTTAAACGAATAAAGGAGACGTGAGAGTATTACACCCACTTCCGATTTTGTAATCGATTAACAACAAGACAGAGTTCATGTATTTACAAAAGTTGGAGATTGTGTGACCTGATGCACACGACAGTGAGTGCGCAGTTTAGAGCATGAATTCTTTGTCTAACGATAATGGGAGGACCACTCACTCTACCTTTTTTTATATGAAATTAGTAAAGAAATATCTATGGAGAAAAATCGCTTTCATATTTTGGTCAGTAGTCCATGTTGAGTATTGAGATAACAAAATCATAGACAACAAGTCTGATAAAAAAAATGTAAAATGAAGTTTAACTAATTTTGGACTGAATTATTTATTTCATGCAAGTTATTATAAATGCATATGTTTGTATTTTTATTAGCTCTAGTTACTGGGATAGTCTGAATGAAATGGATCACAACTGAATTATTATTATTTTTGAAGTAATTGTTTCTCGTGATGATTCTCACTCCATGATGTTTTTATAGAAATGAGAGTCGACTGTGCATATATAAATTCAATTCGAATAACTTTCTTCGTCACTTTTTTACGATTTATATTTTCAACTGGGATAAAAATATTATAGATAGTTTTATTAGAGTACGTGAAATTACTTGTCAAAATGCACTTTTCGAAGATATTGCTAGCAATTCTCATCGTTTCTTCTTGTGATAAGAAAATACAAGTCTGTAAGTATTTGAAGTTTAATTATACTAACTACGGTGGATCTAGAATTAGAACTACCGGTAAATGAATGAAAATCTACAAAATGCAAAAAATTCCGTTTCAAATACACTTTTACTGCTAGTTCGCCATATAAACTGATATCAACTTTTGATGTTGACAAAAGTTGTAAAAGGCGTATTCATGCAATAACAGCATAACACTTTATTTATGTATTAAATATTCCAACCATGGAATAATAAATTGGGAGACTGTCTCCAACAAATCATTCTGAAGTCACATTGAGTAATATTTTTTACTCGAGTTTGTACGTTGAAAATCTGTTTTAATCTGTCATGGTTACTGCTATTGTTATTTAGTATATAGTTTCTTGCTTTAATGTTTGATTTTCAGATGCTCAATGTCAAGACGATGAATTTGAATGCTATGACGGAAGTCAATGTATACCCGACGCATCTTTTTGTAATGAAATAGAAGATTGCAAGTAAGACAAGAATTTCTATCAAAACATACAGAAACCCACCATTAGAGTTTAGAAATTTTAAAAATGATCAAATACAGACAATTGTATGAAAATAATTATTATTTTCGTTACATTAAAATTTAACATATGTTTCCATCTAAAGTACAAACACATTCATAATTAATTGCGGACTAAATTCCGTAAGAGCAGTCCATCTGAATTGATAGGTCGGTATTAAACTTATTTCCATGCGAGAAAATGAGGGTATCACTGTCATTAACTGACCAACTGACGTCATTATTTTTTGTTACTTGCCGTCATACCAAGTTGGATATTTTTGCAAAATTAGCGCCACTACGTAGTGGTCCAAAGTAAATGAAGCCAACTGTTAACTAACTAAAATCTAAAATTTCATATTTTCATTTTTGGTATTGCCTTCAATTTAATTATCAGAATTTAAAAAAAATTTCAGTCAAGAATCCTAATTTTTGAAAATATTTTCATTTTCAAAATTTGATGTAAACAATTATTATGTCAATGATGACCGCTCCACGTCCATAATATGGCAGTCTAAATAGTGATGCGATGCCAAGTATTTATTTTTTCTGAGAATATTGCATATTTAGGTACTTCAAGCTCGAATGTTTGAAACAAAATATATTTTGGAAGAATGGTTCCCTAGCAGTGCCCTAATCCCGAGTGTGGCCGCACGAAGCTGTCCGGAGTCGCACAACATCGCCTGCACAAGCACCCAACTGGTCTACCAACTACCCAAGTATGCTGGTCGGGTAGTGGTAAATGCGATTGATTGATGGTTTTACGATTGTCGATGATTTCGACTGTCCGTTGTGTACCAGTGTCAGCTTTCCGATGGACCTACCGGTCGTTGAAACATACCACTGCCGTAATTAGCTTAACGAATTTCTTCCTTTTACTGTCAGGAAAGCCATTTTCGAGATATTGTGGTGTAAAAAGAGGCTTCGTTTGACCATATGATATGCACGGGCCTGTCTAGAGATAAGGGAATTGTGTACAATCGTGCTCGTTTGACTATATGTTTGCCCAGGTGCGGTAACATTCATTATTTATTCAGAATACATTACGCACAATAATTCAAAATTAAATTGAAACGATATCATAAATTCTTCACTAAAAATCACATCACAAGTTTCCAAAATTCAATGAAAAAACTACTACGTCACCTCAAGTCGAACCATCTGGGTAGCGTCGATAAACCGGTAGAATATCTAAACTGGAAGTGCTATCAGCGCAAGCGAAGGTCCCAAAAGTATGTACTGTTGTGAATAATTCTACTCTCTAAGCTTTTTACATTGTTTCTAATAAATAGCAAAACAAAGGAAAACACATATATTTGAAAAAAGGGATAAGCAATAAGAAAATGAGAATGCCAGGAAAAAATAAAAGCGAAAAGTTGAATCCCATGTTCATCTACAATACACAAAAATCATTCGAATATTGAAGATGACATGCGGGTGCAACGACACTCCAAAGTTCCAAAAATTATCGACGAGATACAGAAGCATTGTTTTCACTAAAATAATTCAATACAATGGAATATACTGATTTTACTGTACTTTTCTTGCGGTCGCAAATATCTCACATTTTGGATTTTACGAAAATTTGCGTCACGGAAAAAAAAAGTCTGGTAACCAACGTTCTGTTTTATAAAATATCATTTTTTTTTTTAAAGAATTGCATATCAATCAGTGTTTTATGGGTTAGGGTTTCTAGTAATAAAACATTATTAGAAAATTCTCATCAAAGTATAAAATTACTAACGGGCGCGTCTGTCTTGTGATTAATCACTTTTATTTATAATTATTACATTAATGAGACACGATTTTACGGGCTGTCAATACCACCGTATCAATATTAGTGTGTCTGACAAATACAATTAAAGATAAAGGGCGATATTCAAACGAATGTGGCTTCGAGCAAAGTTATAAATATATAATCGTTTTAAACCCAACAGTCTAGTAAATTTTCGATTCTGCATTAAATATATTAACCCACGCGTTATTTGCATATGTCACAAATCTATAAAATTCATGAAATATTGAATATATATGTTGTTGTGAATTCACCATATACTGTAATCATTGATTGTTATAAAGAATCAAAGAAATATAACAGAAGAGTTCGAAGTTGTGTGCAAAGTTCTTGATAAAAATATTCCAGTTGGTCTGCAGTACATGATTCAAATAACTATCATGGTAAATTTTCGAAATCTTGTTGTTCAAGGACAGACTAGCACAAAATAGATTTCTTATTATAAGGTGATTATAAAGTTGATAGGGATTTACATATTTATCCCGAGGGAGAAGGAAAGCCGATAAGTCAGCTTAACCATATGGCGAACCATGCCATGTCTGGTATCGGATTAGTTAATTATTTGTTTTGGTGAACCACCCTACGCCTACCAGCAAACCCCGCACATACCTATGAATGGGTAATCAAAGGTGCGGTGGCGAGCGTATTCCTAACGCTTAGCACGATGGGCCACACCGCCGCGTTCATATAAATGTTTAATGAATCCAATACTACCATTTACTCATCATAACTTAATTCGTTTGATCATACGTTCAATTGTGCAGAGACGGAAGCGACGAATTGGAGTACACGTTCGAGCATGACTATGACGAACTATGCAGAATATGGGAATATAAAGCTGGCGCCTGTGTTCTACCACTGAATCAAACCCATAAAAAAGATGTTTTGTGCAATGAAGGTATTTTGATCATAGATCTCCAGAGTAATAAAAGCAGTAGAATTTGACTTTATGACTACTGCATCCAGAGCCGGCACTAATCCTTAATGCGACTGGGATAGTCAATTGAAACTACATGACAAATTGAAAAAAATAAGAAACCGAAAAAGTAGGCAAAGTATCATTTTTTAAATTCCGAAATCGGAATGGATTGAACCGGAATGGATTCTGTGCTCTGGAACAAAATGATGGTTAGGTACGCTTAGTTGGTAACCAGATATAATCTTGATACCGAAGAAATCATCGCAGATATTTCAAATTGTATTTTTTATCAACTAGAAATTATTCAAAGTTGAATACCAATTGCATTAATTGATAATTAATTGCCTGGAATGAATTTCATCACTCGATTTGCATACTAAATTCTAGTATCATTTGTCAACTGCATTTCATTTGTAGATGCCGTTTGTCCTTATTACAAATTCAAGTGTGTGGATCGATCTGCATGTTTAGACTCAGATAAATTTTGCGACGAGAAGATAGACTGCAAGTATATAAAATATTCAATATGATATGATGATAATTATGTTTGTTAATATGAGACTGAAGTTGTTGATGTTTAAAAAGGAAATATTTTAAATTGAATTTAAAGTAACCATGTCTATCATGTTAGCAAGCAATAGTTTAATACTTAGTTTAATAGGTAAATTAATTTAAGCGTTGCTGAAATACTTTATAAAATCGTGGCTTTACCAGTGGTGTCCAGTTTCTTTGTGCGAAGAATGTGTTCAAGGTTTGTGTAAAAATACTTCGAATGTTGTACTGAATTTGTTCATTTTTCTAGAGATGGAAGCGATGAACTTCTGTTTAATGAAACCTTTCACAACTCTGAAGATGGGGTTGCTTGTCGACACAATTTTTTCATGATAAACGTGTGTCTTCTTCCCAAGAAACAACAACATATGGCAATAAATATGTGCAGAAAAGGTATGGTAGTAACAGTTACATCAGTGTCGGAATGAACGATAACTGATGACACCGCTGGGTTCGCCCCTTTCCTGATGAATCAAAAACTAAATACGAGAGAGAATGAATAGGAGAGAACTCTCTCGTTTTCACCTTGGCACGGAACGGTAAAATTGAAAAAACTGATCTTGGCATCGAAAGTGTTAATGGATATGTTCTTTAAAAGAGACGGTATTATCCCTAACTAAGCGGAATTCTTTCTTAACCGTGTATTCATATTTGCAAGTTCAGTTAATATTCTGTTGTGTCGCGAAGGAGTCAAGGACGTTTTTAATTCCCTTCAAGTCACTGTTAATTTCTAGGACCATTGAAGGATAGTTTCGAAACTGGGCTTAGGAAATGATCCACAACCCACATTTATTCATACCTTACGGCCTGCTTTTGCTACTAAAATGGTGACTTCAAAAAATGTAATCAATCATGACAAAATGCGTTCTGGGAGTTTTTCGAATGTGAGATTATGAATTTCGTGTTCAAATCGAGCGGACATATTCATTGTTTCTCTTCGCTTGTTGGTAAATTTGATATGTTGAGATCGTTCTTTTATTTGAACAGTTGCATTACGCCGGGTGCGCGATTGCTTGACTCTACGCAAACATAAGCCATATAAACGCCGACAGTATCTATTGTTCTCTTTAGTTTAGTACTTGGCGCTGATCGCGCGATGACAAAATCCTGATTTTGTAATTTCCACTACTAATACATGACGTCTATAAAACAGATGTTCTGTTGTATATAGAATGATAGTCTCAGTTAAGACCCCTCACGTCTCTGTTACACATCACTAAAAATTTTATCAAGTATATTTCCAAAATGATTTACAATAGTCTTTAACTAGCATCCTTTTTAAACCTCGATGTAATATCATAATTGCAGAAGTGTACACACCAAATACAGCTGAATGGAAAAGAAAGGTATATTAGAGCGATTGGCTCAAGGCCCTGTTGTAGGTGATGGCAGTATGTGTTTTATTCTAGAAAGGAGAGGATACGTCAGGCCCATGCTATGGACACCAGAAGCCGTTTTGGAGCATCCTGAAGCTGTTCTGCAACTCCATCGGGAATATGTTAGGGCAGGAGCAGATGTTATTCAAACTGCATCATACAGTGCGAATGAAGAAAAACTTTCTTATCTAAATTCGGATAACGTCGAGGTAGCTCATTTGGTAAGTTAATATCTGTAAACGGAACATTGATTTAAATCTGTAGTTTTGTAACTGACTTTTTAATATTGTGTGGATAGTTTGAACATATTCCCTGTTTGCTTGAGTATTAATATTTTGTGTTAGAATTCTCAGTATGTCACGAAAATGTTTTTTCAAAACTCAGATTAGGATATAAAGCCGTTGACGAAAGCTCGTGCTACAATGACAGCTCCGTTTATAGGCATCACATCTCCTCTGACAATAATTGTGGTTTTCAGACATCTAATATTAACGAAGCAGCTTGTTCTCTGGCAAGAAAAGCAGCCGAAGATAACAACTGTTTAATTTGTGCTGGTCTGTCACCAAGTCCAGAATACAGAGAAAATGCAGACGAAGTTGCAGCAAGAAACCAATTCAGAAAGCAAGCCCAAATATTTGTCGAACAAAACGTTGATCTCCTGCTTGCTGAGGTAAGCAGAAACATTGTAAAAAATACGGTGAAATCTTCAAATATTTACTCATTACAAATGACACGACAAAAGATCTACAAACAAATCATATCGCCATAATATTATATTGATAATTAAAGTATAATCGAAGAAGATGTACTTGCAGCGTTAATAGCGTGCGTGTTTTTCTCATTGCAAGCCATAAATGTATCAAGTTCAATATTTATTTCCGTGTGGTTTTCTCCACAACCTCTACACTTGGGTTTTCTAGATGTATTTTATAATTTATTTGAGCAATCACGTAAGCTAATGGTATAATGTGGCGGTGCTCGGGGATTCAGCACAAAAATTATATATATATGTGCAAACTGATGATAGGGTGCATGTGATAAAACGTATTGAACAGCTTTTGCATTCACTATCAATCGAAGGGCTGTAGCGAAACTTTATTTCTCGCGATGTGGCTCAATTAAATCACAGATGTGTTTGTTGCAGTTTTTTGGCCAAATAAGGGAATTGGAAATTTGCGCAGAAGAACTGAAGAAGCACAATAAACCAGTTGCAGTGTCGATGAGACTTGGTTTGCATGGTGATACAAATGGTGTTTCCGTAGAAGAATGTGCTATTAGAATGGCAAAAACTGGTGCTGACATTATAGGTAAACAAACGCCTGTAGAACATTGAGTATTTATAAAAAAAAATGTTTTGTTTTAAATGTGGGGACACGCATAAAACAATGTTAGGAAAAATACAATTTTGTATTTTTTCAAATTTCCCAAAACATGTTTACAATATGTGATGTATATCTAAAATTTGAATTTCGTTGATGTACAATTAACCCCAAAAATGCCTAATTTCATTTATATAAAATGGTTGTGATAGACAATTTCGCATTTCATGCGATATTTCTCGATAATTGTATTTTTGGATACTCCCGTAGTATGTGAACCAAGATGGCGGACACTGGAACGTATTATGTGTGCCAGTTTAGAGTTAGGCCATAATTTTATTTCATTTTCTTTTATTCCAGTTCTATTACGAGTTCGGGGACTAGCCAAGTGACTTCCGTAGTATTTGTACCTGAAATTATGACCTAACCTGGTACACATACTACGTTCCGGTGTCCACCATCTTGGATCACATACTGCGGGAATACCTACCTAGCATTATCTAGCGTCCAATGCCCCATTGTTCTTATAAAATCGTTTGTCAGAAGGAGGAAAAATTTACTATGAAATATATCTCGGCGTTTGACGTAATGATAAGAAATGTCTAATCTGAATAGTTAAAAATTACTGCTTAACGGTACGTCCATGTTGGGATATACTATAATAACTCTGGTAAGGACCGCTGTTAACTTCTTTATTTCTAGGTACCAACTGTTGTTTTGATATCAACACAAGTTTAAAAATAATGGAGAAGATTAAAACAGCTTTGGATGAAGAAGGCTTAAGTCCATATCTCATGTGCCAACCATTGGGATTTCACTGTCCCGATGCAGAAAGTTGTCCCATGGGTTACACAGAACTTCCTGAGTATCCATTTGGTAAGATTCTGGCATGAGAAACTGTCATTTAAATTTATTATATAAAGTTTGCAATCAGTCACCTTGGAGTATACTAAATTTCCTTTGCAAAAGCAGACTTTGAACATAAAAATAACAAAATCTCGATACTAGTAGAAATGTATTTTGTATGTATCGTATTGAAAATGTAATTTCATTTCCATAATGATTTTGTGGTTATTCCATAAGCTCATTATTTATTTTGTATATTTGAACTGTAGTTGAACTTATTTGAATTTTATTCGTTGAATATAAATAAAGCATCAGTTTCATCGGATTTCCACTTCATCTGTAAGTATTTTTGCAGAATCCTTTGAAAAGTAACGATGCTTTTATCTGTGATATGAAAACAAATTAAGCTAATATTTGCCTGTGAATAGTCATTTTATTGACCTGACTCTGCCCAGTGTATATCTAATCTTGAACTAGGAAATTTTTAATAGTCCCTTTTTCAAGAATTTATTTTTTCTAGCAATCTCAAACTCCAAACGGCAATATCGAAGATTTGGAGCAAACGTAAAATAAATATAATCTTCTGGCCATTTAGTGTAAATGAATAACGGAAATCCATATGTTCGTGAAACAAACAAATCTTACATGATTTGTTTTTCCATTTTTATTTATATTATTATTCAGGTAATTAAATATTTTCAGGTTTGGAGCCAAGATCCATGACCAGGATGGAAGTTCATAAATTTGCACGAGCCGCATTTGATCTGGGTGTGAGATACATAGGGGGATGCTGTGGGTTTGAACCTCACCACATTCGGGCTATCGCGCAAGAGGTACAAAAATTTATAACTTGTAATAGAAGTCTTACTCAGTATAGTAGTGTATATATCGGACTCACTCAAATAATTTACATAATAATGATAATTACTTATCGACCTTGATCGGTAAGTATGTTGATAGGTGTTTGTCTGTCTGTCTGTTAGATGCACGCGATATCTCACGAAAGCGAGGTTGAATCTGCTTCAAATTTTGCCTGTGCATTCATCATATCTCGGACCAGAAACCTATTGATTTTGGAGGAATTAGGTCGTATAATTTAGCGAGTTATCAATAAATTAGTGATTGGACATGCGGTGTCACTATAGAGTCATGAATCGAAACCGCAGTTTCGAACGATAAGTCTTCGGTCTCCTACCGATATTCTCGTTTTATAACTTTTGAGCTGTACAATACAATTTTGTTTGACAAAAGAATTCAATAAAAAACAAACATTCGCAATATCATGTAAATATTCTAGTTGAACAAGGAAAGAGGTAAACCTCCTCCAGTTGAAAAAATTGCACCTGCTTTTGGAAAAGGAGCTTCAAAGTCGGCTGTTGGAGGTGAAAGGTGACAAGATTGTTTAAAAACTTTAAAAGTTTTGATGTCGAGTGAGGTTGTTATTTTACATGCTATCAATATTTTACAGAGCGTCAAGAGAATACTGGTACAATCTCACAACAGCTACAGGTCGACCATACAGTCCAGCATTGTCCAAACCTTTCGTTCGTAGTGACGAGAAACGTTTTCTGTGATAAAAAGCAAAGAAAGTTCTTAAATAAAATAGTAACCATTGAACTAGTAAAAAGTTGTATAGTGCGGCTGTAAAAGATAAACTTATATCATGACTACTCCTATTTTATTCTTTATTCGTGTATGGAATATTTGATTCTGTTACTTAAATAAAAACGATCACAACATGCTCATAAATTTGGGCATTTAGTAAATTTTCTGCATCACTTTCCGACATGTCAAACTCGGCTATGTAGTCCTAAAATCGAAATCTATATATGTATAAAATACGTGGACTGAAGAGTTTGATAATCACAAACATTAAATCCGGATATCTTTTGAGACATATTTGTAATAAACTTAGAAGTCATTCCTTATTGGAACTTTCACGTAGTTGATCATTATCTCGCCGAAATCGGTCGGATAAAATATCGAGGACGGGGTAATGCACTTAATGGCGCGATTAAAATTAGCTTTCTCATGAACCCCACTTATTGATAGATAACTCGGAGAACTCAAGTAAACAATACAATATATATCACAAACTGGAGTAACTGTGTGTTAAATCGAATTATTTTTATTACTGTTGTCACGAATTTCCCCTCAGAAATGGCTCAACAAAACAAGATGCCACAAATTTGAGCTCCAAGAATAACTATTTTATTTTATATTGATAAGCTACGGTATAACTATAAGGTGTATAAATGTCTCAAACAAAGCATCAATTTGGAAAACTTTGTAACCAGTTTATTACTTATCGATCTTAAGATCGGTAAGTATGTTGATAGGTATTTGTCCGTTTGTTTGTTTGTTTGTCTGTCAGATACAAGCGATATCTCACGCAAGCGAGATATTAATTTTGGATCAAATATGTCGTATAATTGGCGAATTATTAATTAATTAGTGATGGGTGTCGTTATGGAGTAAGAGCGGATCAATCGAAACCGCAGTTTCTGTTTTGGGGATCCCTTAACTTTCGATCGATAAGTCTTCGGTCTCCGACCGATGTTCTCGTTCATGTATTGTCAGGTTTGATATCAACTGATGTTCAGAGTTTTTCTATGTTGCCGCTAGATGGTGGCAGCGACTTTTTATTTGAGTGTTCTGGAATACTTATTCTTAGACATGGTTTGTATATTGATAATAAAACAAGTTTAATGATTTTGCAATAAATTCGAATTGGCAAATTTTTAGGTATTTTTAAAAAGTACTTTTATTATACGTAACAGCACATTATAATCTCTTTTACGACATTCTATTAATTACCCCGATTGCTGCTTACTTTCCTCAAATTTTAATCGATTTGAAAATTGTGCAAAATAACAGCAATAACATTACATGAGGGAAATCCGCTGTTTATTGTCGACTTGGGCAAAATTTCATTTTCAAGTAACAAAATAATCGAGGTTTGCAAGTTTCAACTTACGGCATATTTACTTTACTAAATGACCGAAAATTCCTAACTATTTGACATAATTTCGAATTCAAACAAATAAGATTTAAAAGATAAGAGGTCTGGGAATGCGATCATCATTTCTCAGCAATTGGTTGGTCATGTGCAGCCAGACACGCTTGGATGCCAAGTACCTTGTGTACACAGTGTCTAGTCCTGACAAGATAATGATCCGCTGAAGAGGGTTGGTGTTCTTCCAATCACGAGAACTTTTGTGACTTCCCAATATTTTATATCACATCGACCTTATTATGATATCGCTGTTGCTGTTTTTGGGAATTTTCAAATTATTATTTATAAACCTTTTTGTTTGTGTGACCGTTTGTTTCATAAAATGCCGATTTTAAAAGTTCCGAGATATTGAAGTTCGTTCATTAAATTTAACTCTACAATGGCGCGATTACAAATTTTACCCAACCCTAACACATTTTTTATTTACAAACAACATCAACTCAAAACCTTCTTTTTAAAATGAAAGTGAATCCACTTATGAGTAAGAGCATATGCTACAATTTTTGCACACAAGTCTATGAGCCCATAAACTGTTTTTGCAACATATTTTCTTGCTGAAGTAATCCTTTTCAACTTCGGATGTTCAATACCGGTTAACACTTAACTCTCTTGTTCTCTGTTTATTGCGACAACAAGTAAGGTCGCGTGCAGTGTAAAAAGACACCTCCGTGTTTATGCCAAAACAAACTGATGGATGAATGTTACATATAAACGCGTATGAAATCTATCTACAACAACCACCTACTACATTGAAGCGCAGTGAACAGAAATAACGTTTTAGTTGTAGGTTTTTTCATTAATCTCTGTTGCAAACAATACTAATAAAACTATATTATTATTACTAGACTAATATAACCCAACTATATATTGTATTATTGCAATCCATTATTGAATTAGTCCTTCACGTATGAAACTTGTAAGAAAAGCTTGCAAGAATTGAAGTCAAGGTATTCCCCCTTACAGTTGATGTGATTGACTTCAAAATCTTTCTTTCTTCATTAAAAACGCGGGTGTGACTTTACTTTGACAAGATTGTTTGAAAAATTAATTGACTCTAGCAGATATGTGAATGAGAACATAAGTTACAAAACTGAAATTTGCCCTCTTTATTATTCTAGATGTGATTCTATGTAATGTAATATATTAACGTGATTTTATGCTACGACTGATGAGAAAAGTGAACTCCGCATATTTAACGCTATATGTTAAAAATATGTAGGAAGGTTTACGGTAATTTGTAGTCAAAATGTCTATGCACTAGTAACCAGCAGAACTCCAATTGTTTTCGATAAAAAAAAATCGATAAAACAAGAAAAGAGATTCAATTTGGAAACAATCTGTTGTAATGAGATTGACATTTGACCTTCGTGCGTGCATTTGTTGTGCTTGAGTGAAATGGTTGATCATTATTTTTGGTGATGGATTTCCAAATTCTAGCGGAACGGATCAAATATAACAGGTGGACGTTCTAGTAAGAAACGTAATTTCTTGAATGACCTGCTTTACATTTCCAGGCCCTCCCACCGCTTTCAATTAAACTTCAGCTGCTGCTGTTTTTGAGATCTGATTATTGATATGATCTTATCAATCAAACAAATACTTCATCATGGCAGTTCCTTGTTGTTGAAACTTTGAAAATTTTGCAAACTTAGGGTGAATATTTAGTAATTAACAAGTACACCCCAGATGTACATTACGTAATATTTGATCGGCAAAATAGTGGGATCGCTTACATGTCACATTTTATAACCGGCCTTTGCCTACCCAACGAGGATACTGATTTATAATGAAGTACTGTGTTGCAACTAACACGGAAAAACAATTTAAATTACTTTTATGGTATATAGGCTGGGTGAAACCGCGTAATTATATCGAGCAACTGAACTGAAACTGATCGTTATCAAATTCCGACAAAAATGTTTTTGGTATTATCAACTAGTACTTCTCCTACATCAACTCAAGACGTTTTGCCACGCTTTCATGGAAAATGCCTGTGTTTTGAAGTAGGTAACGAAGTTGACTCGTCCCTAATTTTATGCTGGTTGCGCATTTGAAATTGTCAAGTCACCTTTAAAGATTACACCCACAAGTGTATACATTACCAAAAAAATCTCTTACACTAAACAAGCCTATACCCATAGTATTTAAAGCCGAAAATATTTTTTTTAAATTTATAAAAAAAATTAACTTTGCAAAATAGCATTTTGTGCTGAACTTCAGTAAATATGACACTCAATTGTAATGGAAATAGAAAAACATTTCGAACTATTCTATTGTAGTAAAATTGCACAACCTAAACCACGTTATTTAACCAATTTGCTGCAGCCAAATTCTTTTTGGATTCAAAACTAACGTGAAAATTTCAAAACTGGATAATTTCTTTCATTTCAATAATGTCTTAGCCTAGTCCATGTTTTCAAAAACAATTGTAGTTTAATTCTGTAACTACGGTACATATATCTCAACGATTTTAATATAATTCAATTGAAGTTTTCTTAGTAAAGATAGTATGTAATATATATATTTTATTAAATAAATAAAACGTATTAACTCGTAAGTTTAAAAACCCAGATTTACGCACACAACTTGATGATGTATAATAACAACGTCGTCCTATTATTTTTAACAAACGTTAAATTATTTTTGTCAATATGAACAGATGTTAATTACTCATACGTGAAACCGTAAATAAATATGGATACAATAAATGGACTGTTTAAGTATGGTGCGTAGATTAAATTGCAGAGTTTTCATTTACAGATTTAATACTTCTAGTAATAATGAAACGAAAAGATAAAATATAACACGTGAACAAAACATATTTCCATATCGCGTTTCAATCCATTACTTCCAGGATGCAGCATTGTACAGTTCAATTATTCTGAGATCGCGACATATCACGCGAGAGTTTACGGGTCAAACTTTCAACCGGAATCGAAATATTTTTTACAAAATGGCTTATCATTTTCTCGCAATTAAACAGGTGCTATTGTCGACCAAACGCTGTTCCATTTTTATTGTAAATTTACGCGATTTTATTTTTTTATTTTTATAGCACTTTTCAGATTGCAGTGTTACATATAATGTGAAACAGAATTTATAGACGTCATCTCAAATTCCATATCTTCAATATGTTACAATATTGTTCCCACCAGTATAAAAAATAAAATATGCTATTCAATCTTAAAGCAGTGTTTTCGTGAGCTTTGATACGTTCCTATACTGCAAGAATTCCGATTCGATATTTCTCATCTAACTATATCAATTATAAAGAACTGATTTGTATTTTTCATCGAAAGTTGAGTAGTCTTGGCGTTATCACCAACGGCGAGTTTATTTCGATAGTCTCTCGGCTTTGTAAAGTATTAGCCATATCCAGGCTTGTGGCTTTCACTTGAATAAGAAAATATGTGATAAATTATCTATCTATCTTATAGCTATTATTACTCTTTTTGAGATCCGTTACATCTGCGTTTAGTGCAAACAACTTCGCGCGGATGCTTCTGACCTTGTATTGTTTGGTATACAAAAATGTTCAAATGCTTCCGCACTCGACATTAGGTTGGTGCAACATTACATCAACATGATCATAATCGATACACGTGGATGACAACAACCACCAACGTTCAGGAACAAACGCATTTAATAGCAATCCGAATTCGCTGTTTTAATTGAATTAATTAGACGGTTTGTAATATGTCACATATATATATGATCGAGTATCTAAAAGTATTTGCTACCTATTGCGTACGAGACGATTATATAACAATGCCATTTGTTTTAAAAAACAATATGCAATGACGCAGAACGTTCATCCTAATTTTATCTTTCTTTTTTCCATAACAAGGAAGTGACGATAACGTCTTCAAACGTACGCTCAAAACTACATGTCTTGTGATTCTGCATAGCACATCCACATTTTACTATGTAAAAATAAGGTAAAATATTAATATATTATCTATATTCGGTATTTACCATGGTATTCGCTCTGTTGCCAACGCCAAAAACATGCAGTTATCAACTCGTTAAACCTGGATATATCGTTGCATGGGTAATATTTAAAATCATTGGGACCGATTGGTAAA